ACCACCACCATCACCACCACCACCACCACCACCATCACCACCACCATCTCCATCACCATCACCATCACCACCACAGTGGTAACAATGGCATTGGTAACAGTGGCATTGAGCAATCACTGAGAAATTTTCGTGCACTAGTTGCTGAGTTCGTTTAATTCTCTTAACAGCGCTACAGATAAGCTGTTTCCTGTCCTTTACAAATGGCAATTACTGAGGCCTGAAGAGGGAGATGATGCACCCAAAGCTACATGGCAGGTAAGAGCTGGCAGGTGTCAGCAAAGTCAGCCCTCCCACACGGATTCAACCGCCAGGGTTGAGAGTATTTGAAAGCAATGCATTTACACTGAAGAAGACTTTATTTTTTTCCTTGTCACTACTCCCAAGCAGTGCATCATGACAACCCAGCACAGAGCATGTGCACCAAGCCAGGTGTTATCAGTCACCTAGAGTTGATTCAGAGGAAGTAGGAGGATGTGCTCAGGGTTGTGTGAATGCTACCCGTTTCACACAGGGGCTTGAGCACTTGTGGGCCTTGCCAAGCGGCTCCCTCCAGCCAGTGCACTGCCGCTCTGAGGAGCAGGTGAGACTCAGCAGGCCAGCCACGTGCCCGTGTCCACTGCTGGGGTGGATCTGAGGGTGAAGAGATGAGGCTCCCAAGCCAGGAGGTCTCACTTTTGGTCCTGAAGTCAGCAGGGAGAGCAAGGGGAGCCCTAAGCTTCCCAGACCCATGGCCCCCACAGCCTTTCCCCCCGCAGCCTGCTTGTGCCTGGCCCACAGTGGCTTGGTCAGGGCTGTGTCCAGGCTGGGAGCTGGCCCATGACGGCAGGGCCCCTGTTCATTTCTTTGGTACCTGCCTTCCTGTCCCGTAGGCAGTGCTGGCACGTGTGCATGAGGATGTGACCAGGTGAAAAATGTCCCTAGGGGTGGTGTTGGTGAGCATGTGGATGGCCTGGGCCCCTGGCGTCCTCTGGACTATGGCCTGTCCTTTTCAGTGGTTTGAATGGCCCCTCCAAAGCCATGATGAGGTGTAACTGCCCTTGAACAACCTGAGACCGTGGGGTCTATAGCAGGGATGGGTTGGTGCCGAGTGGTGGGAGTGGGTTTGTGTGACAAGGCCCCTCGTGGCCCCTTGTGGCCTCTCTGTCTCGGGCGTGAGAGGCCTTTGGCTACGACTCGGCAAGAACATCTTGGACGTCCAGCCTCTGGACCTGTAAAGAAGAGACCTCTGCTCTCACCAATGCCCCCGCCCTGGGCATTCTGTTATTGATGCAGGAAGAGGACTGAGATGCCCCGATGTCCCCTGGGAGGGCCTCCTAAACAGAAATGAGCCTTTAGCAAATAGCCGAAGCTCGAAAGGGGCTGTTTCCATCCTGGTAACAAACCTGCGCCAGGCAGCTCAAACCCGGGGCCCAGTCCGCCTGCCCTGCCGGGGGCTGGTGCCGTCTCCAGTCCTACCGCCGTCTCTCCCTGCTCTCTCTGTTCTGCTTCCTTTGGGGCTGCTTTCCCGGTGACTGCTGCAGGCACAGCCTGGCCCTCTTCATGCTGGGCCTGTCGCCAGGTGCCTCCTGGCCTCACCTTGCTGGGACTCGCCCTAGGAGCCAAGGAGAGCGGGTGGTGGGTGGCTGTTGACTCCTGATGCCCCTGGACGGCCTTGAAGGGCCTGCACTGTTCTCCTTGTGGACGAACTTGCTGATGGTGGTACTGTGGGTTGTCTCCGCCAGGCCCCTTCCGCACAGCTGTGTCTCAGGAGCACTGTCCCCAGCAAATCTGCAGACTCCGGCTCAGAGTCTGTTTCCGGGGAAGCCACCCTTGTCAGGCAGGTCAGCTCTAGCTGCCACCCCACATGGGTGACCTGGCCTGACTCTCAAGCCCGTCTCCATGGAGCCTCATACTGATTGGCCAGCCTGGGATTGCAGGGAGGGACTGCCTCCATTGGATCACCTAGACGGAGGGGGTCTCTCCAAGTTGTGATGCAGTTCCTAGACGAGGTCACGGGCACTGGGCAGGTCCATCAGACAGCTGTCCATTCCAGCCTCCCATCTGGACTTCAGTTCTTCCTTCTGCACTGCCCCTTGCAGCTGCTCAGGACCTTCCACTTTGAGTACCGCAGGAAAGAATCTGCAGCGAGACATTCACACTTCAGTAAGAATTGAATCGGTATGTTTAGTACTTTCTGGTGCATTCCTAAAGGAGGAAGCAGGGAAGGGGCTGGAAAGTGACCGGAAGACAGCTTTGACGCCAGGTATGGGAGCTCCTTGAAGCATCAGGGCTGCATACAGAGGGCTTCAGGCACCCAGGTCAGTGAGGAGCTCCTGGTCACTACAGGTGCACACAGCTGGGCAAAGACCACGTGGTGGGTGCTGTGGAGGGAATTCAAGTGAGAACAAGGGGGCCAACTGGGTCTGGGGTGTCCTGGGACACAGCTGCGAGCACGGCCTGTGCCTCTTCAATGCTGGGCCTGTCCTCCCCTTGCTGGGACTCGCCCTTGGCGTCTCAGCATACACCTTGGAGTTGACCACCAGGGGCGAGGGGGCCACTGTCCAGGGGCGTCCCAAGATCAAGTTTCCTGGCTCCTCAGCCCGCCCAGTGCAGGAGATGCCAGGTGGAGGGGCATAGGCGCCCAGCCTGTGGCACAGTGGGGCGGGTGCTCGGAGGGTGAGCCATGGCGATAATGTCACACACTAGCATTTGATTTGCTTTCTAGAACTTACAGAGTACATTGTTTTTGTTTCTTTTGGAAGCTGCAAAAGGCACTGGTTCCAACTCTCCAGACAAGATGAGACTGGCCCAGCCCGTAAGTCCTGAGCGACAGAGATGGGTCATTGCTCTCAGCAGCTCACCGCAAGGCTCAGGTAGAGCCTCAGGCATGGCCCCTGCTCGCACTGTCCTGGGTGAGGCCTGCGGAGGGGCTCCAAGCAGGGGACTCTGGAGCAGGGGACTTTGGAGCACGCAGGGGCGAGGGGTAGCACATGGGAGAGCTGTGGGGAAGGTCTCAGAGCAGGTGCCAGCTCTTTCTTCCCTCTTGACCTTCGGCACACAGGCATGGGGCGTTAACTGTTGGTGCTGAACCCAGCACACAGGGCATTCCCGCCCAGCGACCGGCCATCCCTGCAGCTGTCCCGCTGTGGCCCTTTCCAGGAACAGTGGGTGGGGCTGTCCTGATGTTTTTCTGATTTCAAAGAATTCCACCAGTCTCTCGGAACTTAGGGATGGCCAGACTCGGGGCTGTGCTCTCCTGCCTTGGTGAGCAGCCCATTCTGCAGGCATTTTCCTGCCCCCACCCCCCAGGCTTTGCTTCTCTTTCCTGTTCCCACCACTTGGCCCCCATCTCCATCCCCTCCTGCACTTTCAACCCTGAGATGCAGACTTGCTGGCTCTGCCTTGGGCTTCCTGATGGGTGACACTAACTCAGAAAGAACCTCAGTTCCAGCCCCGGTCCCTGGGAACCCGACCCAGCCTCTTGGCAGGCCCCTGGCGTGCCCAATTCCTGCTTCCCAGCAAAATGCAGGAATGTACGGTGGGAGACCTAGGCCTGGCCCTCTCCCACCTGGTTAGCCTCGGCACTTCCCAGGGTTCTGAGTACAGGAGCCTCCTTGTCCTCAGAGAACACGTTCCAAGACCCCCGTCAGGTATCTGAAACTGCAGACAGCGCCAAACCCTGTATATCTGTTTCTTAGACGTACGGGGCTGGGATGAAGTCTGCTTCACTTTAGGAAGCCCTTCACAGTTCTTTGGAGTGTCTGAGTCACCAACACCCCCACTCTTGCACTTTGGGGTCCTCGGTAAGTGAACACTAGCACCACAGCAGCCTATCTGATAACACAGATGACACCAAAAGGGTACTCTGTGAGATTCCATCATGCCCCTCAGAATGGCATGGAATTTAAAACTCACGAGTTGTTTATTTCTGAAAATTTCCACTAAATATTTTCAGACCATGTTGATGGCAAATAACTAGACTGTGAGAAACAAAGCCACGGCAAAGGAAGGGGCTATTGTCATGTTGAAGGGTGAACCTGTGCAGTCTAGATGTGGGGACAGGGTAGAGGGAAGCTCAAGTTCAACACATGGGCTAGGGAGAGGAAAAAATATTAGCAGCTACTACGTGTTGAGTGCTCTGGCCCAGATACTTACCATGCATTATCTTGCTTCATCTCCATAGCAATCTGAAGTAGGTATTGTTACCTCCATTTCCTCCTGATGAGGGAACTGAGGTTCACAGAGGGGTAATGACTTTCCCAAAGCCCTATGGCAGGTCAGTGGCAAAACTGGGTTTCCCTGACTCCCCCTTCACCGGAATAGCATTCCTTTTTATTTCCAGCCCAAGTCTCCTGGAGTTGCAGACCCTTTTACCAGGCCCCTCGCAGGGCCCAGGTGTGCCCAATCAGTGCATTCCTTCTCCCTGGGCTCAGTGGTGTAAAGAGAGCAGTGAGAACCTTGGGGAGCAGGAAAGAGGGTATCAGGCTGCAGTGAGAACCTTGGGGAGCAGGAAAGAGGGTATCAGGCTGCAGCCTCCAGGGGATGCCATAGGGCAGCCTAGAATGAAACTGGTACAGAGGAAAGCAAAGCCAAGCACAGCAAATAGGTCACTGAGTTCTCATGGTGCTGAGTCTGGATCCAGCTGTACCTGAAGCTGGGATCCTGACCTTGCAGTCAAGTGAGCCAATAAATTTCCTCCTATTGGTTTAAACTAGTTGATTTAGGCAGCTGCTACCAGCAATCAAAATCATCCAATACCACTTGCCAGGACTTGCTCTAATACCATTTGGATGATTTGGTTCAACCTGTGCTTTTGAAGCTCTGTTTACACCGGGGCCTCATGGTCAGTCTTGCCCCAGGCTTTGCAGACTCTGCCCTGGATGGTCTTCATCGCCTTCATAAGTCCGAGTAGAGCTCTTGGGCAGGCTGAGTCTTGGGGCCTGAGGTGGCTCCAGGTGTAATGCAGGAGGCCAGCTCCAGCGCTGGAGGCCTGTCACGTCTGGCTTCTGGCTGCTGCTGAGATGCTCAGAGCCGCTGCTCCACCTGTAGCCCCAGCTCAGCATTCCGGCCTCCTGCTCTCTGCAGGGTCCGCTTTAGGCAGAGGGCTGAAGAGGCAGGCTCGGCTGGCTGCACCCTCCCACCCTCCCTCCTCAGGTGGGGCGGGGGGGGTGTCTGGAAGGCTCTGTACCACGGGCTGGCGTGACGTGGACAGTGGGGAGACAGAAGCTTGCCAAGTTGTCTCTTCGGGTCTTGGTTCTGAAGTGGAAACCAGAGAG